TGTTGCTGCTATGGTTGTTGCTGCTATGGTTGTTGCTGCTATGGTTGTTGCTGCTATGGTTGTTGCTGCTATGGTTGTTGCTGCTATGGTTGTTGTTGCTATCGTTGTTGTTGCTATGGTTGTTGTTGCTATCGTTGTTGTTGCTATCGTTGTTGTTGCTATCGTTGTTGTTGCTATCGTTGTTGCTGCTATCGTTGTTGTTGCTATCGTTGTTGTTGCTATTGTTGTTGTTGCTATTGTTGTTGTTGCTATTGTTGTTGTTGATGCCATCGTTACTGCAGCTACTGTTACACGTGATGGCAGCCATGACAGGAGGCAGTAACAATTGAATCTGGTCTAATCTGATTTACACGAGAAATAATTCAGTTTCCCAGGGGAGAAAGACTACTGTTATCCCTCCTGTCATGGCTGCCATCATTGTTACTGCTGGTACTTTTAAATGTTTTTGATACATCAAGGAAGTGAATTAACAGATGTAGAGAACCAATGTTTTCTACAGTTTAGACTACAAGTAGATCTAGATTGTGTTTAGAATAAAGGACAACTAAGTATTAATCTAGGGAGCACAAACTTACATCTGATTTAGGGAAACCAGTAGGTCTAAACTTCAGCTTGTTCAGTGGCATAAATGTCACTTCTCCTGGCATCTTCTGACGGTTCATGGTGGATAGAATCTGAGCTGCTGTCTTGTCAGAGTCAACGATGATATGAAACAGCCTACAATGTAGAATAAAGTTAGCATTGAAATTAATCAGTCAGATAGTGTTAGCCATCCACTCTTCATGCAACTGGCCCCTGGTACACAGGTATGTAAAGTATACTGTTCAATAAATCTTACTTGTTTCCTGCTGTTACTTCAACAGCAGTGAAGAATTTCTCATCACAAGTGAAGTTCTCTATCAGAGGGCCATAAACACCTTCTAGGTTTTTATCCTGCATGATTCTCTTGACAGTCTCAATACCATTAGTYATACCCTGAAACATTAACATCAATATCTACATTATTATTTGTTTATAATTATCTATATTTTTTAGTTAATAGTTTTATATGTCTGCAATTTTAATATCGTAGGTTCTGGTAATGGAAAATTACTTCAATGTAATTTATATTGCCATAATCCCAAAAAAAAATTTGTTGCTGCTGCTCTCGTCATTGCTGTTGTCGCTGCTCTTGTCATTGCTGTTGTTGCTGCTGCTGTGGTTGCTGCCACTAAAGTTGAAGTTGTGGTTGCTGTTGTTGCTACTGTCATTGCTGTTGCTGTTGTCTTTGCTGCTATTATTGTTGTTGCTGCTGCTGCTATCTTATAGTGGGCATATGTTTCCCATTTCAGACCATGTGTCATTCCCTAGAGTATCATTTCTTTGTTTAATGGTTACATATGAGAAGACAATCGTATATATGAACTATGGATACAACTCAAACAAAGAATCTTTATCTCAATAGAATGACACATATGCCTATGAGAATATATATATGAAATATATGTTTGTACTGCAGTGGTAATGTATCAAATTCTGAGTCTTTCAATTTGCAGCTGCATAAGTTGCTTCATATACTGCAAGGATCAGCTCAATTTGATAGAACGACACAGTCTGAAATAGGAGTATAGAATACCATAGTGTACTTACCCTACTTGCTGTTGCTTTGAGGTTACGCTCAGCTTTAGTCAGTTCTTCTCTTGCTGTACTGATTGTCTGTTCTATYGCAGCCTCTTGTCTCCATAACTCCCTAGAATAGATATTTGGGAACACTCAATTATGATTACTGTTATTCTTGGAGTGCAACCACATGACTCAAAATCCCTTGAGATATGAATAGCAATGAAACAGCCACCATATTGGTTGATCTAACAAGAGAAATAAATGAGGAATGCAACTGCAAATTAACAAGCAACCAACATGGCAGCTACAATGTAACATACACCCCAAGAATATGGGTAGCATGGGTGGCATTCGCGGCTAACGCGTCGTCTTTCACCGCTGTGAGTCCACTGGGCCGGGTCGCTGGTTCGAGCCATGCGGTTGCCACTTGTGAATTGAGTTTGTTTGATGTGTTGTTCTCTCCTATGCTACGAGGGTTTTCTCCGGGTTCTCRAGTTTCCTCCCTCAGTAAAAATCAACATGCGAGTTGAGCRTTGTGTGCATAGAATATTGAATGTAGTGGTAGTGTGTGTGAGCGAAAAGTGTCACCAATTAGTGTGAAAGGGCCAACTTACTTTCTGTTGTTTGTCAATTCATCTCTTGATCTTTTCAGTTCTGAGTACTCTCTGTTGTTCTGTTCAATACTGCTTTTTCTCTGTTCAAGATCCTCAGTCCTTTCCTAAACATTAATGCATATGATAGAAAATTGTAAGCTACATGTATAATACTACTTATATAACAATTCCTTAGATGTAAGTGTTAAGGTGTTTAATCATGTTACTTTAAAAGTTACCAAATATGCGAATTCATGTTTTTTCAAGCAAATTTTACTCTGATCTTTCACAATCAATACACATAATCGGCTAATGTGTTGCCATGTACRTTACATTGTCTTTATGAATTCAACTCTGAAACCAACTCCCATGTGGTTTGAATTGGGTGGAAACGTTTATAGCAACATGTTAGCCGATTAGGTCTATTTTTACTTATAGGTTGTCGAACTGCGTTCATCTTAAGTGACCATCTTAAATACCATCAAGACCTTGCTCATCACCTTGAAATCCAGTAGCTCAGTTGGTAAGAGCATCTGATTAGCAAACAGAAGTTCAATGGTTTGAATCCTACCTGGAGCTCAGAATCTTTTTCTGAGAAAAATTTGCCTGAAGAAACATTACTCACATCCTCAATTTCCATTTCCCCACCTCATTAAAAATAAATGCTCAATAGACTATTTTCAAATTCATAAAATTCTGCTGTGTTCCTTGATTACAGACTCATTTACACAGGGTTAGTCTCGTATCAGTGTCTAAATATTCACAAATACCAATGGTAAAGTAAAGAATGCACAATGACTTCAACCAAAGACTGAAATTTCTCAGACTTTCACTGGAACACCTGAATATTCGAATTCTACACAAAATTGAGACTAACTCTGACCACAGAGAACTCAAAACTAGAGTATTGCAGTTATATACCGTACCCTGATGTCATTCTCAAGTCTTCGTAGTTTAGAACTCATATCTTCTATCTCAGCCTGCAATGCTTGAATCTAGACATTTCAAAAAATATACTTTTATTAGTACTAAATCAACACTAAAAAGATAATATTTCCAGGCTTTGCACAGCAGTTCCCAATAGCAGATGCAGAATTGTCATCCTGACTACAGGATTCGTGCTGAGGTAACCACTTAAAATTCAAGGACTATTCAAGGAGTATACAAGGACCTAAAAATGAATTTTCAAGGAGTATGTTCAGCTAACTATGCCAAGGTTTTACACAGTGGTTGCAAATGGCTGACTTTCAGATTTTCTGATCTTTCTGACTACATCTATTTCAGAACCATGCAAGTAATGATCAAAGCAAAAATTCAAGAGTTTTTCAAGTGTCCTTGAAAACGTGTACGAACCCTGTGACAAAGATAGCCTTGATGACATCGCATTTCATGACTACGCCATGAAACACCCTGATTGACATCCACGAAACCTCTATTTTGTCATGATTGCAAAATGTATAACTCTGCATACGCTAGTGTGCATACCATATATCCATGAAAAACTTTGCAAGAAATTGTACAATTTCGTTAGCTAACTTGTTCTCAGCAGATATATTGTATGCAGGAATGTATGTAATGCATTTTTATATGACTGGGGAAACTTACTGTGTCAGGGGAAAAACAAAATATTGTTTGTATGGAAGAAAATTGGAAATTCTAGAGGAAATTCAAGGAACTTTTTTCAAACTTCCTCCATGGTGGTGTATGGGTCATATGGAAATTCTGGAGGAAATTCAAGGAACTTTTTTCAAAC